GCACAGTGCAGTAACAGGCCCCCAGGGGATCTACAGGAGAATGGATACAGACACCCATACTCACACACGAGAGAGAGAATGCCGGGACAAATGCTGTGGCAGCAAGGGGGAGAAGGATGCTCATCCCTCAGGGGCCATCTGCAAGGCTTCTCGGCTGGGGTAGGGTCCCTCCTCTCCTGAGCCCCACAGCAGGGAATAAGAACATCTCTGAACCTCTCCCAGCTCTATGCAAGAAAGACAGCCCACACCAGATGCTTGCTGGCTAACTGAGCGGACACCGCCCATATCTTCTTACTGCAGTCCACAAAAGGCCCTGAGCCAGGGCCTCTTCCCAGCCTCTGTATGTCTGCTTCATCACAATGGAACACACAAGGCCGTCATGGCTTAGCAGGAGCCTCAGAGTCCTCTAAAAATTGCCTGGCCACTTCTCTACTCCAACCTCCATCAAGGGCTACTGTGGATGGGGGTAGCCCACATCAGCAGCAGGCACACAACCACATACCAAATGCCAGGTTCCAGGCCAGCCCCATCACCTGCCTGCCTCCTGTCACCTTAGCCTCCTTTCCCAGGCAGGTTCAACACCACATCAAAGTGCGGGCTCCCTCCACACCCCCACCACTCCAAAATAAGCTTCAAACAGCATGCCGGTCACTGGGCCACACAGACTTGCAGGATCTCCTTTACCAGTGAGCTCCTACAAAATCCCCAAGCAAACAGGTTTCTCTCAGCCCATGCTGTGCAGGGAAACCAAACACTGAGGCAAGGCGCCTGGCCAAGAGACACACTAGGCAAACAAACGGAGCGAGGACTTGAATCCTGGTCTGATCTGTCCCTCCTCTTGGTCCTTGGTGTCCTCTGTACAGGGAAGGGGTGACCCTAGGTGATCTCTAAGTTCCCATCTAATGACAAGAGAAAAAGCTTGTTTTCATGAATGTGCTCCACACGCCCATGCATGTGGTAACACTTCCATCGGACGCGGAGGCCCGGAGGCCCCACCCCTGACCAAGAATGCAGAGGCAGCACCAGCTACACCCCAGACCATCTGCCGTTGCTTCTCCCAGTCCCTTGGGGGTGGCCAGTGGCCGGAAGGGAAATCGCTGCTCGACCACCCAGGCTCTGCAGCCTGACTCCGATGGCTTCTGGTGCATTTCCATCTCCCTCCCTCTCCACATCACCCTTTCACCTCCCCCACTCTGCCTAGACCACCTCTTCTTCCCCTAAGAAGCTTCCTTTGCTCTACCCTGGACCATCCTCTTCTGCCTCCTCAGATGGGCCAGCAGCGATTCAATATTCGCATAGTCACAGACACCTGGGCACTGAGGACTCTCCCTGGGCAACTCCTTTGGTCTCCCCTCCGGAACACACGCTGAGCTCCCCACCATCCTTGGCAGACACGACTCCTAAGCAGGTCGCTCTGCCTACATCCCTCTCCCAGGCCTCATTATCAAGCCAACATGCACGACAGCCCAGAGAGGCCAGGCCTGAGATCACACACACCTAGGTGGCCAAATCCTCTTTCAAACCCAGAACCTTCTGGCTCAAGGGCCAGGCTGCTCCCAGGCACCAGGCTGCCTCCCCAACTCTCCATCTGTGTTTTCAAGAGCAGCTGGGATTTCTGGAGCGAGAACAAACCTCTGCTCCTCCCTGAAATCTCCCTTCCCGCCCATACAGGTCAGGACATCTGGGTGCCTTCGACATCACGGTCACCCTGCTTCCTGGCACACTCAGACTGCTGCTCTCCTGGCCTTGCACTCGGGAGGAACAGGACACCAGGAACCCAAGACCCCATCACGGGCCCAGGGCCATCTCTGACTATGACAGAAAGGGGGAGACACCAGGCCCCCAGAGGATGTCAAAGAAGCCTAGCGGTTTTCTTTGCCAACAGGACTTCCCGAGAACCCCAACAGGGAGAGCAGGAAAGAGAAAAAGAACACGCATCTTGCACAAGGCCCTGAGCTCCCAGGCGGCAGGTGGTGAAGCGAGCAGCCAGTGTGCCAGCATGCACAGTGGCATTTCCTGTGACCCTGGGCCCAAACAGGAGCAGCACAGCTCCAGCAAGGCCAACAGGACTCTAGACCCCCGCGGCCTCCCAACACCCACAGGTGGAGGCGGGCGGGCAGAAGTGGGAAGGGACTTGGGCGCAGCCTCCAGCCAGTAAACTCATAATCCTAAAGCCTCAGGGCAAGGCGCTGGGTTGCCCAGGCCAGGGAGTCCCAGCCAGCGAGGCAAGGAGGGTGTCCAGACCCCCAGGATGCAGGGCAGTGAGGCAGGGGCCAGTAGTCACCACCTGAGCCTTAAGCTACCCTGCTCTCCTCTGGGGACCCACAGCACACTACTTCACCCCACAGTACAGCCACTGCCTGCTCCTGGTTGGGAAGAGGCTGGGGACACTGTTCTAAGTGTGTGTCTTGACTCTTAGGAAAGAAACAGAAGGTCTAGAGCAGGAAGTGACCTGACCCAAGCTCCCCAGGTGGTTCATGCCTCACCATGGCTTGCCTGGTTTCTGGGTGCCAGGCCTGGGCCTCTCCACCCAGCAGTGTGCCCACGCTCCCCAGACAGAGCCACCCAGCACCAGCTCTAGGGCCATCCTGCGTCTAGTGAGACCAACAGGGTGATAAAGAGGGAACATCTCAGGCCCTGAGCCTGGCCCTGGCCATGCGGAGTGGCCCCTAAGCCCAGGAACCCAGGGCTGTGTGGGGCCTACTTGTGAAGGAACTGGACAGAGGTGAGGGAAGCTGATCCAGTGAGCTGCAGACATGGTAATTTCCTCATTTGTCTTGTCAAGTTTATTACATAATGATTTTCTGCTAGGAAGATACTTAGTGAGGGTCTGGGAAGCAGCAGGGGCCAAGGCTAAGGTGAGGCCCTCTGAACTTCAAGGGGAAGTCCTGTCTTCACTGCAGGTAAATCCAGTAGCTCTGCCAGGAAGTCCTCTCTGCTGGCCCCTGAGCTACTGGCAGCGTGTGAAATGGGTGCACCATGCCCACCAGGGCAGGCCCCCCAAAGCAGGCACATGCCAACCATGTCCTCAATGTCCTGTACAGAGGCCCGGATCAGATCGCAGCTCAAAGGAGTTGTCCCCAGTGGGGCGTCTATCCAGGAAATGGGAGGGCAGGGAGTGCTTGGTCAGCCCTCACACCATCCAGCCCCACCAGACGGGCAAGCTCACCACAGAGCCCTCAGCACCCACAGGCTCTGAGCCCGTCACCTCTGCTGCTATCCGCAGGGGCGTTATGACGGTAAGAACCCGGACAAGGCACTCAATACATGGACCATCTTCGAAGTCTCTATTCCATTCACTGTGCCCCCAGTCATCACCCAGGTGCAAAGTCATGTCCAGGTGGTAGGAATTGTCCCACCAATGACATTTTCAAGGGAGGGAGGGTGTCACCAGGGAGCAAAAGCTAGTACTTAGATAAGCAGAATAAAAAGAAGGAACTATTAACAGTGGCTTGTGACCCTCCAAATTCCAACCTCATCTGACAAAATTTTAGTCCATGGCATTTGTTATGGAATGAATTATGTGCAACCCCAAATTTCATTTGCTAAAGCCATAACCCCCAATGTGACTGTATTTGGAAACAGGGCTTTAGGAGGTAATTCGGGTTAAAGAGGTTTTATGGGAGGGGTGTTAACCTAATAAGACTATGGTCTTGCACTCTCTTTCTCCCTCCCCCACCTCCCTGTCTGTGAGAACATAGTAAGAATGAAGCCATCTGCAAGCCAGGGAGAAAGATTCCAGAAAACCTAAACTTGCCAGACCTTGACCTTGTACCTCAACCTCCAGAAAATGAGAAAATAAATTTCTGTTGTTAAGAAATTAACAAGCTATCAGTCTATGGGGTTCTGCTGCAAAGCCCCAGCAGACTCAGACAGCATTTCTCTAGTAGAGAGAACTCACAACATGGTAACAACGAGAAGGAATAGGGCTGGGAAGCACTGGCCTGGAGAATCCCCACCTGGGACTCCAAGGAGGCTCCCTCTTGCAATTACAGAGCAGAACTTTTAACTGGCAGCTACTGTGTCCCCAGGAACACAAGGCCTGGGGACGCTGCTACTGGTGTCCAGTGGGTCGAGGGCAGGGCAGCTGCTAAGCACCCTACAGTGTCCACGTCAGCTCCTCCCACATTCAGAATTCCCACATCAGTCTGTCATCAGTGCTCAGCTGTTGAGAAACCTAAGAGCAAAAAACTTCAAATACTGTCAAAAAATTCCCTGAAAACCAGGGAACCAGCCTCTCCACCAACTTCTGAGTGTCAGCAGAGGCTCCAGGAGACCTCACCCAGCCCTCAGAGAGCAGGGTCCAAGATCCAGAAGCCTCTCCTCAGTCCTGACAAAGTGGGTGCCCCAGGCATACTAAATGTCAGAAGAACACGCCAAGGAGGAAACCAAATATCTCATGAGGCCTAGAACTCAACATGGCCCTTCTCACTCCCACAGCAGGGCAGGTGGGAACAGCCTGGGGTCTCCCACAGAAGCCTCCTCAGTGGGGTACCAAAAGCAGAGCCCTCAGTGGGGTATAAGGAGCCCAGAGCTGAATGATCACTGTGAAACTAACACCAACCATCACACTAGCAGTCCCGATGGCTCCCACATGCCGGCACACAGAACTCTTCACATTGGCTCCTTCACACCTGTGACAACTCCTGATATATGTGCTGGTGCTCACCCATTGCACGACTGGGGAAACTGAGGCACTGAGCAATTTAGCAGCAACTAGGAAGGACATAACAGGTAGCGTGGGTGACCAAAGAGGAGCGTGACATCAGATGGCAGACTCAGGACCACTGCATAAAGGCAAGCCCCACAAATGCCCCCTATGCAACTCGGGCTGGTGTCGTGGCCTCCTTTATTAGCTCAGGACCTGAGGCTCAGACACATTCAGGGGCTTTTGAGTGGCACACTCAGCTGAAGGCCAGGCCACCCACACAGAGCCCAGAGACCTGTCCCCCCTCCACCAGGTCCAGAGAACTAGCGAAGACTGACCCCAGCCCACTTACCTGAGAAGATTGAAGCAAGCCTGAAGATGTCCGAGAGGCGTGAGGTCACGGGCTCATAGGGTGAGGCTTCATAAAACTCCTCACCTGGAAGAGAGAAGCGGCATCATTCACCTGCTCGAGCTATTTCTCTCCAAGTGGGGCAGAGATTCCCCAGAGTGGGGAGGCACTGTCAAAGGTGTTCCTCTCACCCTCCCTATGTGGGCAGCCCTCTTCTGAGGACTCTCTGCCTCTTCCATAAAAAAAGCTGCAGGGAAGCTGGGACCATCACAGTCCAAGCAAGGCCAGACACAAGGCAGAGGATGACGCTGAGGACCCTCCACACCACTCAGCACGAAGCCCTCCTTTCACAAGAAGGCTCAGAGGTGGCCCGGAGAGGAAAAGCAGCCTGAGGGCACCCAGCTCCTCAGGGAGCAGGTGCCAGACTCGTATCATCTTTGCCTCCCAACACTTCAACACGCCTGGCAGCCCCGCACAGGTCCCTTTCCAAGACAGAAATTCCTCTTTGCTTCCTGTCCTGTCACTGGCGAGTCCTCGGAGTGGAGGCCTGAACCCACCATCTTCCCTACCACCTGCTGGCTTCTCAGACCTGTTTTGGAGGCTTTGTGGAGCATCAGGCTCTAAGAATGGAAAAGCGAGCAAGTGACAGGAGACAAATGGCAGGGAGCTGCCCTGGAGACCCCTCACCGGCTCTCAGCAGCCCCGCCCTCTCTGTCAGTGCCTCAGCCAAGAGAACATCCTCCTGAGACATTACAGGTGAGGAGAAATCAATGGAAGACACTCAGACTCAGTCAAGGGGGCGGGGGCTCAGGTGCTCATCCACAGCCTCACGCATTGATTTTCCATCTGCCCAGGGCCACCCTAAGCAGGCACCCCTATCTAGGGGGGATCCCCTGTGGGGAAGCACCCTTGGGACCACCTGCAAGAAATGGCCCCAGCCCTCCCTGGTGGCGCAGCAGGTTAAAGCACAGCACAGCCAGTGAGCAGCAGCCACTTCAGTACGAGTTTGATTCCTGGCCCAGAGGTGACCCACATGGCGCGCAGACCTCTCCTGACCCGCCCGCTGCTTCCCTCAGCAGTGTATTTCATTGATCTGCCTGTTCTGCCCCCCCACTCTGTCTCTGGTGAACCTCTTCCTCCCCTGCATCTCATGCCTGTACCCCAGTTCTGTATGCATAAATAAATCTTTAAAAAAAAAAAAAAAGAAGAGGAAGAAAGAAATGGCCCCATAAGTCCCTCCTGTAAGGGTCTCATCTAGCCAGCCCTGGGACTACACTCTACGCTTAACCAGCCCTCGGCCGGTTCATGGGGCAGGGAGTTTGTCTGCATTATGAAGCAGACCCCCAGAAAAAGAACCAGCCCATCCGGAGGACACAGGCCCTGCACCCAGAGAGGATCCCTGGGTGCACAATGGGCACCCACCTGCTGTTTGCTTTTGACCTCCAAACATCACTCGTTCTCGGGCTACTTCCATCCCACTTTCCCTTAGGCTGACCAGGCCTCCACCACAGGCCTGTGGGATCTCAGCATCCCACAGTCTATCCATGTGCACTGGAAAAACTCCTTTCAATGGGATTACCAGCCATTACTATTTACCAGGCAAATAACATAAGAGTTTAAGAAACACATATACTAAATCTTGGCTACCACTCATGGCCACCTTGGCCATTGACAGATAGGCTATTAAGGCAACAAGACTCAGTTAAGGAACTCGCCCAAAGTCACACAGCTGGCAGAGGCAGATGTCAAACCCCGGAAGTTGGTTCCCTAGTCCAACCACTATGAATACTGTCTCCAAAAATAAAGTGCTGTTGGAACCAAACTGTTTTTCCACAAGTGCTGCTACTGTCTGACGATCACAGGGTTAGGCGCTTGCCAGCGGGCTCCCTCAGCAGTGGCTGCCGCCCCTGTACCTGGGAGTGAGGCCACCAGTATGACTCTCCCAGGGCTGGCTGGGAGGGGCCCATCCTATTGGAACCAACTGCAACAGATTTACCAGTGGGAAATCTGAGGCCTGGCCCAGAGGGCATCCCCACAGCCAGATTGTAGCCACACCAGGACCTCAGGTTGGTGGTAGGGACCTGGGGGAGGACACGGGACAGAGACATTTGCTTTTCTTATTGGAAAAACCAGGATGGCCCCGAACTTCAGTGTCACCCAAACAGGGAAGCGTGGCCTCAAGCCTCTCCGTGAGACTAACAGCGATGGGGGCCATGAGTGGTAGCGAAGAGAGGAAGGGCAGGCCAAGGCCACAGGACCTCCCAGGGGCAGTGAGAGAGGCCTGCACATGCCCAGGCCCTGTTCTCACCCCCAGTTTGTGGTGTGCAAAAGCCACAGCTCCCTGCATCTGTTTCCACCAAAACAGGGGTAGGACCGTGTGACCCCCGGGGCCTTGGAGCTGAACAGCCTGCATGCTCAGCAAAGGCCATATTCCTGCCACCTCCATAAAGCTCTTTCTACTTGCCAGGGGCGTCTGCCTATGTTGACAGTAGCAAGCTCAGCTTCAAGTAGAGGGACAAGGCGGGACCAAGCCTCCAGGGGACCCTTCCACCAGCAGGTCAAAGAGAAGCCAAGCGTCTAAACCAAACCCTCTCCTCTCAGGGGTCCCCTCTGGTCAGCAGTTGGGTTAACAAGTTCATTAAGGAACAAGGAGAAAGTGTTTGCAGCCTCCTCGGGGTGAAGACTCCCCCGCTCTGTGAATGAGGACATGTTGCTGGTAGGGTCCTGCAGCTCGCAGGAACATCGCCTGTTATTGAAAGGCCTCTTTGTGGCTTCCCCATCGGTCCGGGACAGAAAGACCTCTATCGCCCAAGACCCGGCGGCAGGGTATCCTGGGGTCCCAATGGCTGGCACAAGGTTCAGGAAGAGAAAAGCAGGGGGGTCTGCCCTTCTAGAGAAGGCTCGGAGTGGGGTCCAGGCCAAGGCCATGGCTAGCTGGGAGAGACCATAGTATCTTCAGTGTCGTCACTCTGAGGCTCACAGTAGGTGTTTCAGAGGTATCTGTTGAGTACACAAACCAAGAAGAAGCGCTTCAAGAGTGGGACAGAGACTGCCATTCCTGGGTGGACAGGGCCATGAAGGCCCCAGGCCAGCGCACACAAATGGGTGATGTGTTTGCTGAAGGCCTGGTCTCTGGGCGCCCCCTGCACGATCCTTTGCAGGGCACCTGATGCCTGAGGGCGCTGCCCTGGGAAGGCTCATGGCACCCCTCCAGCAGCTCTTCTAGTGAGCAGTCCTGGGCACGACAAGCCCACCCCAATCTCCCAATCTGCCCAATCTCCTGTGGCTTGAGGTGGAGGCTGCCGGAGAGGAAACAGGAAACTAAACAGCCCTGCCAGCAGAATCGGGGTGCTTCACTTTCTGTGCATCAGAGCCCCCCTAGCATGAAGACACTCCTGGTCCCTTAGAAGGCAGTGCGTGGTGCATGGCACAGCTCCGGTTCTCTGTCTGCCTCTGGTTCTAGGACTTGAGGGCGCTGGGTGGAGACACGCCCACCTGACTCACGAGGAATGACTTTGTTATTACAGGTGGTGATGCTGTTAATGATCGCGTGTGCAGCTCACTCTATGCTCAGGGCACGTCTGGACAGTTCCACCCCAGTTCAGAAATCCCAGGCACCTGAAGCCGCTCCCCCTCCCCTGCCAGCTCCCTGCAGACATTCTCGCTCCCTGTCCCAGCCCCGGCCCTGGGCCCACCCCTGCCCCGGCACTGTCCCACAGAGGACCCCTCTATTCTTCACCTCAACATCTCCATCACTGCTTTGGAATTTAAACAGCTTTACCCTCTTATATCCTAAATAATATTAATCACCCATTTTTGTTCTTTTTTTCACATTAAATTGCTAAGAGTTGCTCTCCAGTCATCATTCCCAGCTCCCAGGTCCCACTCACTCCCAAGCCAGACTCCTATCCCAGCAGCTACCTAAGATGCTCACCCCAAGAGCATAGGAACACTTTTTCAGCCCCTTGCTAAAGCACCAGAGTAACACTCTTTCCTTTTGGGAGTGACACTCCGTGGAGCCACCTGCTACCGCCCCCCCTTTCCCGGAAGGCTCCTTGTCCCCGGAGCAGGCTTCCCTTCCTGCCCATTCTAAAAAGTGAGGTCCTGGCCTCTCCCCTGCCCGCCTTCTAGTGTCACGGCACCACTCTGCCTGCCCTGTAACGGCCTGCAGGCGCACCCCCTCCCCAAAGCTCCTGCCCAGCTGTCAGCAGAGCGTGGCCACCTGCAGGACCTGCCCTCCCCACTCTGACCTGCACTGCTTCTTGTGAGCTGGTCATGTCCCCTGGTGTGTCCAGAGGGAAAACTGGGTGTCCTCCTTGACTCCTCCCTCCCGTCACCAAGAGCTGTTGACTACACCCTGTCTTTGTCCACCACTGTCCTTCTTTAGCCCTGGACTCTTGGCCTGGGTCATACAGCGGCCTCCCCCGTCCGCTGTCACCATCACCCCTCCCTCGGAACCACATAAACATCTTCCAGAAGCAGAGGCCCAGTCTTCTCCCTTAAGACTGCTCAGGGCGGCCTTCCCTGGTGGTGCAGCGGGTTAAAGCACAGCACTGAGAAGCTAAAGCCACTTCCGCATTCCCGCCTGCCCCGGAAGTGACCACATGGCGCGGCAGACCTCTCCTGACCCGCCCGCTGCTCCCCTCAGCAGTGTTCTTCTTTGATCTGTCTGTTCTGCTTCCCACTCTGTCTCTGGTGCCCCTGAGCCTCTGGACTGTACCCCAGTTCTGTATGCACAAATAAATAAATCTTAAAAAAAAAAAAAAAAAAGACTGCTCAGGGCTCCCTGCTACCCCCACGCCCACCCCATCTGCACGTCCAACTCCCCACATACTGAGCCCCCTGCAGGTCAATAAGTGGGTTCAGGAGCCTCATCGCAGACCTTTCCCAGCTCTCCCCTCACCACTGACTCTCCATAAAGCTGCTCACTCTTAATCTAAGCTGGGAGGCTGCCTCCTCCAGGAGGCTCTTCAGGGCTCACCATAAGGAGTCAGATGCTCCTCTCCATGCTCTCCAACAGCATTTGTGCCACCAAATGACAGAAACCCTCTTATCCACACCCGTTTCTCCCCAGACGAGGCGCTCCATGCAGTCAAAGGCTGTCCCAGCTTATGGTCCACTCTTCCCAAAACGCCTAGCAGATGGTAAACTCAGAGAACAGCCAAATCAACAAGACGGTGACCCAGGTGGTGAGACTTTCCAAAGCACGTGCAAACGCCCATGCTCCAGGGAGCCCTGGGAGGGAAGAGGGGGTTGCTGGGGGCTGGCTGGGGGGCATGAGGCTACAATTCTGCCTTGGGACTGCGTCAGACCTGCCAAGGGGGTAAGATCACACTGCTCCCAGCACTCAGCTCATACTAGGTCAGCCCGGGGCCAGGGAGCCACGCCCCTGAAGGACAGGCCCCCTGGGAGCTGAAGCGGCAGCCGATGGGTCTCCAGGCACCTTGGCAAAGCTCCACAGACACGTGGCCGCCCCTTCTCTCCCCACACGGAGCCCCCATCCACCTCGGAGGGAGCTCCTACCTCAACTTGTCTCACTCTGGGTGTGGGCCCTTCCACCCTTGGTTACTTCTCCCCTTACTTTGCGGGCTCCCTTCCCCCAGCCTGGGTCCCCCCCCTCCACGCCACCTCCCTAACTGTCACCTGCCCCCTCCTAGCTTCCATGGCGACTTCCCCCAGGTCCCTGGGCTCTCCTGGCAGGTAGAGCAAGCAACCAGTTCACTCACATCCACGACCTCTTCTGAGCCTGGGCCCGCCATGAACCCCGCCCGTGCACCTCCTCCTCCCCAGCCGCCCCGCTTACCCTCGGTCAGCCCCAGGTGGATGCTCCAGTAGATCTGCAAGCACTGCAGCTCCTTCTTCATGCCGCGCTTGCAGCGGCAGTCATACAGCGGGCTCTCCTGCAGCACCTCCAGGGCGGCCTGGCACTCCTTGTTGGCCAGCATGGTGTTGCGGTCCCGGCCCGCCAGGCACTGCCGCAGCGTGCGGTAGCGGGAGATGCAGTTGGATTCGGCGGCGCACAGCTCATTGGCCCGGACACAGTCCACTGGGGGGCGCCAGCCCTGGAGCTCGGGGCCCTGCGGGGAGGAAGGGCTGGCCAAAGAGCGGAGGGTCTCGTCTGAGGTGGGGAGGGAAGACAAGTGTGAATGACGGCTCTGCAATCTCCCACCCAAGATGGAGGCCTGGGGGCGTGGGCCCTCCTGGGAACGTCACACCCATGTGCCTCCAAAGCACACGAAGGCCGACTCAAGGCTCCAGGCACAGCCGGGTCAGGGGGGTAGTGGTGCAAGGAGCCCCCGTTCCCACTGTCCTTCCTGAATCCCAAAGGAGAACTCAAGCTGTCCTCTGCCCTGGCTCTCCAGTTCTCATCAGTTCCACCCTCAGCTCCTCAGCGTCGACCCTGGGCCCAGGAGCAAGCAAACCAAGCTGGGAGGGCCCTCACCCTCAGACCACAGGCGAAGATACCAGTAGTCCAGAGAGGACTGTTGCCAGCTTAGCTGCGAGCAGGAGCCGCAGGACCCGCTGGGAGTGCGGAGTGGGGCTCTGGCTTTCTGAAACCCAGGCCTCCCATCAGCCTCAGTCCCAGCTGGACGTCCACCCTCAGCCCTGGGTTAGTCCTAGAAAGCAGCAGAAATTTCCTAGCCTGGCAGGACACAAGGACCACCGAGTCCAGCCCTCACCTTTAACCCTGGGAAAGCCAAGAGAGAAGGGAGCTGATTACTCAAGGTCACATCAGGCTGAAAAGGCCCCTCGGACCCTCCTCCTGAGCCCCTAGACTCAGGACGGTCTAGCCCCATGGTCTGGACTGAGGCATGCCAAAGGAAGGTGCTCCCCCTTTCCCACCAAGTTCATCGTTTCAGATCTTAAAATCTGGCCTCCTGGGGTCAAGTTCTACCCCAAACACCAGCAAAAGAAAAGTCTGGTGAGACGCCTCCTCCCTGTCTCTGTCCTCTCTTGAAATGTGCCTTCCGGCTTCTCTCATGCTTCTCTCCTAACAGGACGACTTCCCATCATGGTTTCCCTTCAATGGCCTTAATGTCGCTCCCAATCAATCTCTCTCCTCATTTCTTTTTTCCCCGTCCTTTCCTTCCAACCGGCCCCTTAAACCCTCTCAGGTGTCTTTTTTTCTTTCCAAAACCAAGTCAACTGCAAGGGGAGAAACGTTCCCCTCCTTTGGCCCTGGGCTTACAGTTAAGAGTCTCACCTCCCTCCAAAGTGTACAATGACCTCACTCTTCTCACTCATCACCCCAAAGCCCAACAGCCAAACCCAGTCTTAATAAGGCCAGGCATCAAGGAAGAAGGTACTGAGGTGAAGGGCTGAGGGGGGCTCTCTGGCTGCTTTCCAAACCAAGATCCAAACGGCTTTCCTCTAGGCAGACATCTACCTGGTTTCCCAGTCCTCTCCAAGCCCTCAGGCCAGAGCCTCCCACAGCAAAAGCCTATACTGAGGCCTGGAGGCTCGACCAGCTTGTCCAAGACCCGAGGAATGATCTGAGAGGTTTCTTCCACCCACCCTGCCCCAAATATTGTAAGGGCCTAGGCCAGAAGTCCCCTCCCCAGAATCTCACACTATCTCCCCCATCTCCACCCAGCCCTAAGTCTCTGCTTCCCCCTCAGAGCCTTGCTCTGGGGGGAGCTACCTTAGGCAGGGAGACAGCGACACCTAGAGGTAGAGAGCAGCATGACATGCCTGCACTCCCACTTCTGAAGGAAAGAAATGAGCTTTTTTAGACCAACCAGGTCTACCCCACTTGGAGATGCAGAAGAGAAACAGGGAGTGGTCCTGGAGTGGAGGTGACCGTTGGGCTGATACAAAAGACATTCTCCCACTGGCCATACCTGTACCTCCACAAAGGAAGGTGTGTGGTAAGGCTGAAACAAGACCAGAGAAGAAGCCATCATGGAATATGGGCATGGACAGCAGGCATCTGCCAGGGCACTGGCTAGAGAGATGTCCTCCATCCAAGCCGAGACAGCAGCTTTATTTCCCAGATTCAGCAAATCCTCAGATTCCTGAACAAGACTTGAATGCATCTGGGCTACCCAGGAGCAGCTGAGCTGACCCGGCTTCACTCGCACCTGCTGTCCCCGTTGGCCAGCCAGTCAGCCTGTCAGAGCCTCGAAACAGGCCCAGGCCTGCCCCTTTTACTATGTCCAGCATCCGACCTTGACTGCACCTGTGGCTACACCATCATAGGAAGTGGACAGAGAACCGTGTGCCCGTGGCAGGTTTAAGGCAAGACATTAGCATGAGGACCTTTACCCTGCCTGCCCTACAGGGAGGTCGAGAAGCGAGGAGTGCTTCTTACAGAATCATGGGGTCCCATACAAAAGGCAAGGGCTTCCCCACCTACCGTTTAGCATGTGTGCCTAGACTGGGCAGTGTTCTGTGGAGGGCCAGGCGGTCTCTCAACAGACTCCCTTACCACCACCCACCTCCTGGCCATCAGCACCACCGGAACCCATCCCTCCCACCAGAGAAAAGAAGTGAGGGCAATTCAGAGTCTCAGGCCAAAAAATGCTGGGAGTGCAAAGGTCAAAGGTACACTGCCGACATTTCCAGGCTTGGGATAGGAAGAAAACTCAGCTCCATCAAGACACGTGAAACACTTGCAGAGACCCGGGGTGACTGAGAGACCAGAGTCACAAAGGCTCACTTACATGAACCATCCTCACAAGATCAAGAATATGTGCCAGCAGGCCAGAGGAAGACAGCCCCCTGACCAGCCCGGCACCCCCAAAGCACTTCCCAGAACCGTCAACACTGGAGGGCTGGGTGCTGGGGCAGGCTCAGAACCTGCGGCGGCACACGACAGGCCCTGTTTCATGGCGCCCTGCTCAAACTGCCTACCAGCATCGCAAGCTTCAGAAAAGCCTCTGCCCAAGTACAATTTCCAACCAACTCCCAATTATGGGTTCCTTGCCAGGAAAGGGGTTCTGCGGCTGAAGTTTCCCTACCACCAACCTATTCCTTCTTGCCAGCTCTAACCCTGAGCCTAGTCGTGCAGCCAAGCCCTCACTGTAGCTTTAGAAAGGGACTTCTGTAGAGAAGGGAACTGAAGGACTGGCCAGAGGGGCTACTAACCCCAGCTTCCCCCTCCTTTCACCCCCAGGGCAGCAGACCCAGCAGAGCACGCATCTGGCCAGAGCCCCAGGCACACACACATGCACACGCGAACACACATACCCTAAGAACAGAACAACTCCTGAGCGCCTCAGCTGGGAAAAGCCTGCTTGCAGCAAGGGGGTCTGGGCCTGCAGATGCCCACGGATCTCCTCCACCTGGGATGCAGAACACACCTACACCTAGGAGTCTCAGGAGCAGTGGGCTACCTGCTTCCCTTTTCTTCTTGGCCCTGCTCAGTCTTGGCCCTAGAAAGTTGGGCTTCAACCCAGCAGTGGGAGAACAGGGCAGGTCTATTGAAACCCCTTCAGAATCAGGGTTGCCAGGCTGGGCTACAGGACAGCAGTGGCTTGGAACACCTTCCCAGCCTCCACCTCAGCCCCTCCCACCCTGGACAGAAGCTCTGGGAGGCCAAATACTGAAGGCCACACCCTAGAGCAGGGCCAGGCCCCAAGGGGACCTAGGCTGGAGAGTGAGGGGGGAAAAAAAGGGGGTGGACAAAGGCCCAAAGCCTGACCCACAGAACGCAAATACCCTCCTAGTGAAGAGGACATTTACTCAACCACCCACCATCTTTCCTCGCCAAGCACCTACCTACCTCCCCTCTCCCCTCCTTCTGGCCCAGCAGGCCAGGGTAGCTGGCACAACACCCACACCCCACACAGAAGCAGATGTGAGCTCCTGCAACACAGACCCTCCAGCCCCAGGGGGAGGGGCCCCTGATCCCACCACACACACCCCAGCCCCCAGTCTGGCCAGCACCCAGCCCTGCAAACACCCTTTTCCTCACCTCAGGCTCAGAATGCTCCCTGTATACCCATTTTCCAAGCAGCTGTGCGATTTCGCACAGCATAAAATGGGGCAGTCCAGGGACTGGGAATTCTGGGTGGGAAAGAGACCTCTGTTCAGGGGCACCACCTTCCTGTCTAGGTGTGGGGCCCCTACAAACCCAGCTTTGGCTTTTTGCCCCTCCACCTTCTTCTTCTTCACCCAAGGTAGTAAACTTTGGCCTCCTTCCCAGGTTCTTCCCATCAATTGTGGGGTCCCCAGACCCTCGAAGGCAGAAAGGGAAGCCCAGGGGAAGACTGCTGGCACCCTCCACTCCTACCAACCCGTCTGGCCCAGGGAGGGAGGGTAGAGGGTAGAAAGTTGAAAAGTGTTTCTGGGTAGTGGAGCCGCGGGCAAGGGTTGGTGGGGATTGGGAAGCGGCTGCGTTTTCCAGAGGTTGATTGGCAGGTGGGGGGATGGCTGCCAGCACTGCCCCCACAAATGTCCAACCAGGAGCTGCCTAGAAACCCAAGCCCTCCACCGCGGCCCTCAGGGAACGCACTGAGGAAGGTGGGATGGGCAGGCTTTTTCTCTCCCCACCGCTGAGCTTCCGCTCTCCCTCCTCTCTTCCAGATCAAGAGTTGAATTTTTTAATTCTTAAGTTGCCGCAATTCGAACCTATAATTTAGAGGAATGGGAGCAGTCGTTGTGTGCGAGCGTGTGTGTGCGTTTGCGTGCGTGTGTAGGGGAACGGTGTGGTGTTCAAAGTCTCCTTCCCGATGCCCCCGCCAGCCGCGGCTCCCGTCCCCGCTGGGCACCCTAGCCGCCCGGCCCGCCCGGGTTGGC